AGCAGATCACCAAAGAATTGATGCCTTTGAATTGTGGTGCTGGAGGAGGCTCTTGAGAATCCCCTGGACTGCAAGAAGAACAAACCTATCAATTCTAAAGGAAATCAACCCTGAGTGCTCACTGGAAGGACAGATCCTGAAGCTGAGGCTCCAGTACTTTGGCCATCTCATGAGAAGAGAAGACTCCTTGGAAAAAACCTTGATGTTGGGAAAGTGTGCGGCAAGAGGAGAAGGGTACGACCGAGGATGAGATGGCTGGACAGCAACCAACATGAATTTGACCCAGCTCCGGGAGGCAGTGGAAGATAGGAGGGCCTGGCGTGCTCTGGTCCATGGGGTCACGAAGAGTCAGACACGACTAAACGAAACGAAGCAGACTACTACTAAATCCTTCTAACACCATGCCCCGCGTGGGTTATACAACTGTAAATGTAGCTTGCACATAGTTTTCTTTATAAATCTGTCATATCCCTCTTACACATTGATGAACGTTAAATATCATGTGTGAAGAGATCATGAGAGTTATCAACTTGTGGACCAGACAGTAACAGCTAAGTGAGCGATTTGAACCCACCACCACCACCAGTTCCTGATTTCTAATATAGGAACATTTCCTTCTTCTTAGGCAAGATGGGCAAAGTATGGTCCTTGAGATGCTGTTGGGTGCATCTGACAACATCACTCTCTACAGGTAGTATCAACCAAGACTGGTGGGCATTGCAACACCTGGAAGGCTGCATTTTACCCATTTCTACTCTTGGGCTTTAGGAGCTATTGCACTATGTGGAATATTAGGGACAGTCACTTCACTCAAACTCTTTGGAAATGTTTTTCAAGGAACTGACTCGTGTGTGTGTGTGTAAAACCACCTCCCAAAACAGTTTCTCTAATGATTTTGTCATATATCTGTCAGTAAATGCTTTCTGATTGTATTGTTTATTTGTATTTTATCATTTTTTTTTAAAAAAAATTCTGTCCTGCTGAATTGGTATTTTAATTATGCTGCTGTGTGTTTTTGTTGTAAACTGCCCAGAGTGGCCCTTGGCCAAATGGGTGATATCAAAATGAAACAAACAATTAATTAGTAAATAAAATTACATTTGGATACTATTTTATTTTGTATCCAATCACCAGGAACTATTTGGTCCCTTTATATTTTGCCATTCAGTCTAGTTACAATATTTCTGTTCACAGCACATCACAGAACAGACCATATGATCTATAAACTACAAACTGTTTTGCGTTGAACCTTGCTACAGTTTAGCTCCTGTCAATTAAATTCTATGGGTGACAATTAGGAGTATGTACCATACACAAAAGATTGCAGTCAGCATTCACCCAAAGAACAATTACCATTCTGTCCCACTATGGTTATACATTCTTTTAATAATTATTTTGTGCTCAAGGGCTTATTTTATGCAGGCATTATTGCACCATTAATTCAGTGATATGACAAAGCAGAAGGAATAAAATAAGGAATCAAAAATAAGGCACAGATAAAATAGGATTGCTGGAAAGGCAGTATACTGGATTATTAACCCACTTTTAAAATATGCCTTAAACTGCTCTCTTGTAACTGCTGCTGTATAAATATATTTTTGGTGTAAACCAGAATGATCATTTGGAGGTCACTTTTTTAGACTATATATCTCAGAATGTCCCCACCAACATGGCCTCTCCCATGGTGACTGGGGGATTCTGGGAATTACAGAAGCAGTGGATGTGCCTCTCCATATCTAAAAGTAACCAATGTATCTTACACACAGCTCCATTTCTCATTTTCAGCTACTTTCAAGGAAGCTGTTGATATTTTGATTTGGCATCTGAGGTGGATGAGGACTTAAAAACCGAAGCTAAATACAGACAAGACAGAGATTTTCTTGATCAAAGGAAGATGGCACTGAGAAAGAAGATTCAACTTGTTTTGAAAGGGATCAGAACCTCTGCAGACAGTAATCATTTCACCACAGGACATTATTGACATTATTGACTAGAGCTTTGCATTATGGCATTTAACAGATACTTCTTTTTATGTATGGAAAAGGATGCATGTATGCAGGTGAAAGACCTATCATGTGACTTTTACTGGAGACACAATTTGATGTAAAGTTAGAAAACAATTTATTCTGTAAACACAGACTTAGCACCTGTTCATAGCACCACTGGATTTTGATTAAAAGACTGCTACAGAGAAACCTTAAATATACCCAAGATGAAACCTAGAGTTTGCTTTACAGTAGACTATAATTTGAAAAGATATAATCTCCTCGTGAACCTTAGCCCCAACCAATCATGTTAAAAACTAATTAGTGCTTCATGATTAAGTATAGATTAAAATTACACTGTTGAATTGGCAACGGGAAGAGAAGCTGAACTTACCACACTGAAAAAAAACTCCACTATGTACTGCAGTTCTAAATTAGCACAGCTTATCATTCAGGATTTCTTTGGTTTCTCTAAGATGAAGTATAAAACAACAGGTGCAAAACAACTGATACTAAACTCCTCTTGCCGAGCAGCCTTTTTGTGCTCCTCAGCTTAAACAGAACTCAATTAAACCACACAAATGGACCAAAGGAAGAAATCTCCAGGGCTGCCAAAAACAACTGATACTAAACTCCTCTTGCCGAGCAACCTTTTGTGCTCCTCAGCTTAAACAGAACTCAATTAAACCACACAAATGGACCAAAGAAAGAAATCTCCAGGGCTGCCATTTCAGATTTTGGTAATGGTGGGATAAGGGAGGCGGGAGTGGAGGGGGGGTAACATTCAAGGTAAACAGGGAATGTACAAGGATTTCATTTCATCCACATTTTGAAGTGAACCAACCTAATTTATCATCCTCACACTAAGGCTGCAGCCGCACTGGTAAGAACCACATTTAAGCATAATTTAAATTGACTTAAACTAACAATTGAACATTGATGCTAGCCTCTAGCATACCAGATTGACTAAGATTTTATCATTCACATGATGCTAGGGTGAAATCGATTTATATGGGCTGCAAAGTGATTTTTTTTCAACTGGCTGGGAGAAACTTTTCAAATACCTCATTTCTAAAACTGATTCAATTCAATGTTGTTTTGTGGACATGAACACTGTCGTTGTTTTAATTTGTGTATGTAGATTGCCGGGTGGGTGGGGCTCGTCAGCCATGGAAGGCAGCCCATCTAGGAGAAGGAAAACTCCGATTTCAAACCTCCACTGCCTTGTGGCTATATCCACTTGTGGAAAAGGCCTCAGGAGTTAACCTCGAGGCAAAATCCGGAGCTGGAGTCCCGAAGGCAGCATGTGTCGTTCTGCCAACTCCTGCGACGTTGGTGGAACCAGTTGTATTGGCTCTTGCCTTTCCATTGGACCATTTCAGCAATGTGGAGAGGGGGGATCTGCTGCTTGGGTAACAGCCTATCCTCCATATTACCTTACCCGGGCTTCATGCTCTGGAGAGGACACTCCTTGATTCAGAGCATGTTACCATAGTCTCTCAAGACTGAAGGATGCCTATATATACAGTATGTAGATTAGGGGTGGCAGGGGCACCATTGTTTTTCCTTTTAAATTTTTTAAAAATTATTTCTTTAAATATTTACCAGTGCATCACTTTGTCAATATGTTCAAGCATTGCAATCACCTACCCCATTTTCTCAATTTGGCTAATGAAGGAGCTGGCAGAGCAGTAGAAGGCCAGTGGGCACAGAGTGTGGCCACCTGGACACAGAAGAGTGTCCACATGCCAGGAGCATCACCATGTAAAGCAGCTGGAAGACTCTCCCCAATGCCAATTCTCATTTTTTAATTATTATTAATCAGCTAGATTTGCCTCCCCAGTGTTTCTAGAGTATAATGACAACAGGTGGCACCTCCTACTCTCAATTTATCATTTACTTTGGGGGGGCAGGAATAAAATCAAAATTTTTAAGAACAGCATGCTCTTAAAACAGAACTAGGTGGCACCTCCTACACTCAATTTATCATTTAGTACTTTGGGGGGGGGGCAGGAATAAAATCAAAAATTTTAAGAATAGCATGCTCTTAAAACAGAAAGGAAATGAGTCGATTTCATCAGTGTAGGCAACTAAACCAGTTTAAATCACCATAAATAAATTGATTTCTATTCAGTGCATGTGAACACAGCCGCCTGTTTGAATACCACGTGACTTGAGCCTGAACCTAAAAAGTTTGAACAGAAACTGATTCAAATTGCCAGCGTGACTACAGCCTTCAAGTACAATAACACAGCTATCCTGCAGTTTTCACCCCTCTGAATTCTGTGATATGGCTCTCGAACCCATTTATTAAAATAAAAATGCACATATAAAGGTGTATATCAACCAACAATGCCTAATGATAGATATATGTTGGGGATAAAGTACATACAGAATTTCTTTAAAGAATCATACTAAGTTTCTGATTATCAGGGAAAATGTTCAACACATTGTGCATTTTTATGTATTTTTAGATATTGCAGATCAGTGAAAAATCATTACAGAATAGACCATTTAATAAAAGGGCATAGAATTAACACACACCAGAAAATAGACTGATTTGCCATCCCAGGTCTGCCCAATTTCGGATATCAAACCCAAAGAAAACTTGTTGCACCTAAGAAACTGACCAAAAAGAGAATTTGCAGTACTGCTTTCTGATCACTGAAAATTCACTAAAACAAAACAATCTACAGTAATGAGTTTATTTTAACAGTGCTTGAATTGGGAGACTTCATACATTCTTCTAAGACATTCTTCATACATTTACCCAGGACTATAACAGACATTTCCCTTTGGTCCTAAGTCAGTGATATCTGGATGGCATATTCTGAACACGTGCAATTTGCCAAGGTTTGGCTCCCCCACCTGCTTGGTGTATTTGTGCATACTTCCCCAGTTATGTGGAGCTGTACCCTGTTTTTTAAGTCCAAACGATGAATGCCTAAACCAGAGATGCTGGGGGATGAATGAACTCTCCAACTCAGAGACAAGACATGAAAAGCCGCTTCTTACTTTTTTTGAGTTATCAAGACATTGTTCTTTAACTCCCAAAGCTTTTCGATGGCTGGGCCCAGCTGGCAGGAGGAAAACATATTCTGGTTTCTCAGTTCTTGCAGGTCTGCAATGAGAATTCTGCAGTTCTTTAGGTTCTCATCTGTCTCCAGGAGTGTGGTACAGTATTCTGCTTCTGTAGTCTAAATGGGGGAGGGGGGCAACATTATTGTCAAGAAAAGACATTTCAGAGACCCATCAGGTTGCAATCTGACAGCCGGTGCTGCAAATAATTTTCAAGTTAAAAAACCCAACAGAGTGTGAAGCAGCCACAGTCACTTCTTTAGTATTACAACTGGCCAGCATCCAGAACATTGATGCTAGCCTCTAGCATACTAAAAATGGTCTCCAGAGCAGCATCCCCACCCCAACCCAGCTGTGATTGGCTTCTAGTCAACACTTCATTTGTAAAACAAAGTCGGGGGGGGGGCGATGCAGTACTAGGATAGAAACCAAAGAAAGAGTTCCATCTGAAAGACAACTGCAGATGGAAATGACAAAAGTGGAGGAGAAAAAGAAAGAATAACAAAGGAAAGAGGCTGGCGAGAAATGGGACAAGAAAAAAGGATCATGTAAGGATGAATCATCACCACCTGGCACACACTCCACCTTCCTTGTTAGGCAGAGCAGACTAAGAGGAGATGCCTTCATAAATGACCAATTACTCCTACTACCACTTATCTCACCATCCCTTATCAAGAAGACTACACTGAAAGGACGGGGAATTAATTTGAGAGGTAGGACCATTTCATCAACCCCTCTGCTGTGTCAAGGCAAGTTTCCCTTCGGTACTTTTCCTCTTACTTCTACTTCCAACCTTGCAATGTAGACTCATGGCTACGTGTGTGAGTGATACAGCTCTTCCTGAACTTGCAAGAGTAACTTAGGCTTTTGGTTCCAAGTATTTTTATGGAAGGATATAGGTATACATATAAGAGGAATAGGAGCATGTATTAAAATAAAAAGAGTTTTCTGACGGATCCTTGCACCTGGTAAAGATATCTATTAGAGATGGGCACAAACCAGTAAAACGATGAATCAGTGTGGTTTGTGGCTACCCACAAACCATCACACACACACACACACACACACACACACACACACACACACACACACACCCTAGAAAAAAGAACCGGTTCGTGGTTCATTTTTCCTGCTCATGCCAGGATGGTGGTGACCTAATGCCTCCATCCACTCGGCCACCCACCTGCCCCCTTCCCACTGTCTCCATCACCCTCCTACCTGGTCCTGCCACCTCCTTCTCTTCCTCCTCTGTTGCAATCATCTTCAGAGACAGTAGGCCCAGTTCCCACAAAGGAAGGGTAGGTGGGGTAGGTGATGGGGGCATCAGGAAGAGGGCAGCGGGCATCCACTTTGCCAAAACAAAACAAGCCCCAAGCAGCACAAAAAAAAAGTTTGGCATTTTGCTTCATTTCAGCAAACGGCTTGCAGATTTTTTTGGTTTGTAGTTCAGTTCATGACCATCTCTGATAGCTAGAATTTGTTTTAAAACCCACACTGAGAAAATGCAATATCCTGCACACAAAGGACATGGGTTCAATTCTGGAGAGGAACAAGCAGACACTGGCAAAGCAAAGATGGTCTTCTCCTGATGGTTATTCCAGGAATCATTCAAACTATGTGAAAAGCTGCTCCCCTCCAATAGAGACATATTTTCAAGTTGACATGAAGTTAAGATTTGTTTTGCTACACTTGTAGTTCAGAGATGAATGTTAGAAATGAATAATGTTGAAGAGATTAAGCCAAAGGCTTCACAGAAAAGGCTGGTTTGGGATGGACATCTGAAAGAGGGAAAAAGAAGTACCACACAGATATTCTTTGTGGGAGGCTCAGGCTTAGTTAGTGTGAGGGTGAAAAAACAGACTGAACCACATAAGAGGGCAGACACCTTTAGGTAACTCAAAGTGGTAAAACTGAAGGACTGCAGGTCCTAAGCCAGACTATTTTGTCCTATGTGGACAGAAAGATGAGAAGAAGGTAAAGAAGAACCTTCCTGTGGCTCTTTTGTTCAATTTCTTTCATCACTTACTAAAAAGAAATACTCTCCAACATGTTTTCTACATTGTTCACAGTATATTTTTAACTCATTTTTTTTGCTCAGTCATTGTACATCTCACGTTGTACTTCCTTATTTTTACATGCAGTGCCATTAATGCAGATAATGTTTTCCAGCATATTAGAAGGAAAAGCACAACAAATTAAATAACAAATTGCTGTCTATACATTTAATAATGAGAAAACGCAACATTGAAGATTTCAGCTTGAACAAAACATACTTAAATGCACTCAGTGTTTGGTGCAGCTACTGCTTTCTCCCTCATTACAAAGTAATACAAGCTGTTGTCTTCACTGAAATTGGCTCAGTTATCTTGATACTTAACAGACCTGTGGTATCTTGCAGCCATTTCCAAAATCCTATGGTGGTCACTTTTTCTGATTTTCCAGCTTTCACCACTCTGGAAGAACTGGAAGAACTCCAGAAATGTGCATCTGTCTTATTTCCAACTAAAGAAAGGGCAGCAACTCAATCTGTGTTTTTTTTTTTCTCAGAAGAGTGGAATTCTTTCAATTGCAGAATTAGCCTATTGGAAAGCATGGATTAATTCATTTTGCTATGTAGCTGCTGGCATGACAAGCAAAACACTGGGCCTAGTTTTCATGTGCGTGATCTGCCAACAAGCTTACCTGGTGGAACTGGGTTCAAACATCCCTTCCTTCCAGAGCAGCCATTTAATGACTATCCTTTCTCCACTATGGCAGCCCTCCGGTTGTGTTACCTATGGCATTCTCACAGTGTTCTGAACACGCCCATTGGTCCCCAAAATATTGGGGACCCCATCACACAGTATAGATATGATGGCTAAGTGGAGCATTACTCATCAACCAGAGAAAGACTACTTCTGCCCTGAGCATATTTGAATAGGGCCGATGTGATGATGTCGTTACCTCAAAGCATTTCACACAAACCAGGTGGACCTTAATCTGGCACTCAAGACTGAATTTTCAGTTAAAATAAATGGTTCTGTCTTTTCAAGATTTTTTTAAAAAAAAAAAAACATGTATCATATGCAGACGCATGGTTAATAGTCGTCCACATGGGCTTACAATTTCTATTAATTAAGCCTGAGTTATCTTCTGTTAAGGTGAAAATGCTAGTTATTTCCATGACTGATGTTTTTCTCCTAAGCTTTTTCCTCTCAGCCGCAAGATTTTACAGTAACTTGTTTCCAACATTCTTCCCATCAGTTTCATAAAATGCATAACTATGCAGTATGCCACACTTCCCAAAGTCCCCCCCCCAAAAAAATCAAAAAACAGGCATGGGGCTTGTATGAAGGACTGGTTTTATTTTTCTAATGAAATTAAAGCACATGGTCACAACTAATATGGTTGTCTTTGAAAAGTTTTGGCTGTACGGCAACACAGAAGATATTTTCCTTCCAGTTGCAATCTCTAATACCATTCCCTAAGTATTCAAGCTTCAGTTCTAGCTTAAAGTCCATTCTCCTTTCTTCCTCTAGTACCACTGAGATTGCTGTGTATATATATGCTTATCCAACAATGCCCATAACATCATGAAGTAGCATCCTATGCATAAACATTTCCTTCTTCTATTCTAGGAGGCATTTTTAAAGGGGAGAAATTTGACATTTCCAGGGTCTCTACTTTTCTGCTGTGCTGCATAAATATTCACAAGGTAGTGAGCAGAAGCTAGAAAAGTCAGGTTTTTTTACACTACAAATATCAGAATTTCTGGCCAGTATGACCAGTGGTTGGAGGTTTGACCATGTGGATCATGACAATGTAGCTGGAGGATTCTAGTTGTCATCATTTTTAGTTCAGAAAGTAATTTCCCCAGACTTTGCACTGAGAGACACAACTCTGCTTGTATTTATGCAGTTACCCTTTGGGACATGGATAACATAACTGGAGGTATAGCAATAGGTAGAATTTAATTTTAATTCTGCTTTGTCTTTTCTCAAATACACGACCTCATCCTGCAATTAAGATCTTAACTCTCTGACAGGAAGCCTGTCATTCAGAGTAATTTATTCTAATCTCCATGGTATTTTTATGACAGCCTGTGGTAATAGAAACATAGCAGAATATCTTATTCTTTATGTCATAATATTTTTCTGTTTAACTCTGCTGTGTACAAGGTGATGGGAGAAATTAATGTATCAGAAACCACACAATCACTGGCCAAAAAACAGTTCCTTCTGTGCTACATTGGGCATGGTCTTAAGGACAAAAGAAACAGCTCAGTTGGATCAGGTCAAGGAACCATTTAAACCAGAATATTGTTTCCAGTAGATTTGATAGATGTCTCTGGAAGCCAGTGGGCAGATGGGCGGGGGGCACGGACAGGTCAACCAAAGAGATTTTGCTGCCTGAGGGGATGGACAAAAAGCCAGATGGGTTGGTGATTGAATTTTTACTTCAACAGTGGCAACTTCCACCACACCTGGAGCCAGCAGAAGATGCAGAACGAACTATGGGCCACATAGACAGGTCTGTCTTCCAACAGAGTAGCTGGGATGCAGCCATGACTGTCTTCCATCATTTACAGCTTGAGGCTGTTGCTTCACTGAGCTTCCTGGCAGGAATCACCCTTTGCGACTGTAGTCTTCAGGGCTGTTCAGATTCAGAACATCCTAATGGTCTATTTCAGTTTTTCTGAATCCGTTCTAATTAACCCAGTTTATACACCTTTACTATCCACACTTGCCCCCCCCTCAGCTCCCACTAAGTTGACAGGGCTCCTTCTGCCTTTTCAATCAATCTTCTCAGATCCTCTGCTTTAAGCAAGAAAAAAAATATGTTGAAGCAATTAATACTACCAGCTAAAGTATATAGACACCATTACAATGTTTCTCATCTGGAAACATGAAAGCCTCTTTCTCTTTCAAATGCAGTGACAAAAGACCACGAAGAAGGAGGAGGAGGAAGAGGAGGAGCAGGAGGAAGATAATTAATTTTGGAAATCTAAGTATACTGGCATAGATCCCACTGAAGCAGAAGGTAGACACACAATGTATCCACTTCTTCAAAAAAAAACAACAACCTTCATTTTATATGCTATGTGGGATATTGTACTTCATTATTCACTTCTTCAAAAAAA